AAAGAGTGTAACTGAAGGCGGCGGGCGGTGGGGGGGCAATAAAATCACACTGTAATCTTTTCTATTTACTTAAGGCTCACTGTATTTATTTGAAAATGCCAAGATATATTCCAATGGGAACAGAGACCTAGGAAAATAAAATTTCACTCAGGGCTGACTTCACAATGATTTAACTATAAAAATTCCTTTCCTTGTCATCCTTTAATTCTCAGTCTGTGTGCCTCTAAAGTGGAGAGGAATGACCCTATCAAGTTCCCACAGCAATCCTGCCTCACGGGGGCATTCGCTGGCTCCTGGGGCCACACACAGGAAAAGACATAGCTCTGCCTTCAATAAGCAGGAAAAACATGGACCCAGCCAAGCTCAACACACTACAACTGGTTTATAACAGCCATCAATGAAAGGGCTTTTGGGGAATGTCAAGAGAGAGCCCCAAATGCTTGGAGGAACCCAGGGCCGATCCTCAGAGGAGGAAACAGAATGGGTGAGGGAACCCATCAAAGCTAAACTAACACTATTGTGGTATCGTGGGCTGAAGGACCATGGGCTATGCCGCTGTGTCCAGGGTGAGAGTGCTTTAAAATACTGTGTATTAATAGAACCTTGAGGAGTACGAGTCCAACAGATCAGGAGATGATTGCCACTGAAAGGATAGTTTGTTTCAGATCCCAAGAGGAGGGGGCCACCTGGGAAGCACCAGGGTCAGTCAGGAGGCAGAGGGAGCTGTGGGCAAGAGTCTTTGCTGTAGTTTCCTTGGAAGGAACAGGTGAGTCAGGGTACGCACACAGGCCTAGGACTGGCTGGTTTGAGTGATCAGTGCGCTCTGGGCATAGGGACTGTCCCCGGTTGTCTGGTCCTTGGCCCTCGGGTGATTATGGCAAGGGGTAGTGACCTTTGCCCACTGCACACCCATCACATAGGTGAGCACAGCATTCCTAGAGGAAGGAATGGGTGTTGTGGTCGTTCTTGGGAGGAGAAGACCCTGCCTGATCCAGTGGGGTCCAACTCCTGAGGCATCAGTTCAATTTTCCACAGTTCTGCAGTGTTCATGAGGCCTCGTGGGGTAGCCAGGCCCATGGGAACATTTCACCTCTAATTCGGGGGCACTGATAGTCTAATTGTTAGTGAGCTTGCTGCACGGATGCAAGAGAAAGACAAGGACAATTGTCACCCCCCTTATCACCTCCACCTCCCACAAAGGAGAGGACTTGGTGAAGCTCAGCAGCGCTGGCAAGCACATCTAGACACACACCAAACATACGAGGCATTCTTTTACGTTCACTTACTCATATAAAATGTTTCTAAATATATATTTAGCAAACAAGCTTGATTTCAGAGCCTCTAATAAGCATCATGAATGTTAATGAAGCCAGGTAGTGTTTATATACCAACATAAAGTAAAATTCAAGTCATTTTTCAATATTGCCAAATATCTAAATATTAGACATTGTGTAAAGAAGCATTACCTAATCAGAATCTTCCATATTCTATTACAATCTTGGAGTCACTAATTATAGATGAAGTGCCCTTATGGATACATGCACAGAGGAAGAAAACCACAGAAGCAAAGCCATTAAGTTCCTCACTACCACATAAAATTTACAGATGGGAAAACTGGTGTCCATCCAAAAGACCAATGTCACTCGGGAACCCACCAATAGCACAATATTGAGATGACAATGTTTATATTTTTTCACAGTTATGAAGCTCTTTTTTATTTCTCCCAAATGGAGTGACAAATATATATTAAAATAATGAAGACATCCATAAAGTGGAACACTAGAATAAAATACCTGTATTTACTAACTTTAATGTTTTTAGTTTGGAGTGAGAAGAATAACTTTTATAAGATGTTCTATGGCCAAAGTTCTCCTCCTGGAATCTTTTCAGAATGAAGCATTGTAAAAAAAAAATCTGCCAAACAGTTGTGAGGTTTACACAGTAGAAGGATATGGATATTTTTGGAAGAAAACACATGGGAATCATTTCCAAAGCACTTCTAAAGAGTCATTCACGATAAAACAATAAAATATTAACCATAAAAACCTAAGAAGGTAAAAGTCATGACGATAAAATCTCTTTAGCTTGGCCACACACTGAAAATGAGGGTGTTAACGTAAATCACGAGGCACTGTGGCCTGATGCCCTGAGATCCAGGGCAAAGTGTGAAACAAACACGCCTTTCACACTGACTGACATAGGCCCCTAATCGTGCAGGTCAGAAAGCTCGGAGAACAGCGTCCATCACTTCCTGCTTTCTCCACCTCTGTTAAGTGAGATCACAAACAAAATTTTACTCAGTCAAGGTACAGCAAAAATCAGGGAATAAGGACGAGAGCTAAGCATCCAGCACTCCCCTCTCCCCAATAAAAGGGGACTAGCTTTAAAAAGTAACTTTGATCTCTATCTTATTCCAGACCAAGACTTGTTTTTTAAAGATTACAAGGTGTTGTTTGTCCTCTGTTGGTTGCTGCAAAGATTGGACTCGAACTGTAGTGTAATAGTTAACAATATAATATTACCCCTACTTCACGATTCCCTTACAGCATCCTCTTGACTAGGGGAAAGGTTCACAGCCTGGATGAGGCCTCTGGTGACCTGACCTTCAAAACCTGGTGTGCTGGAAAGACTCTGTATGTAATTATGCGTTACTTTGGCAAATTTGTAAAATATGGACAAAAAGCAAACCAAAAAAGTCCCAAAATGTTTTAAGAGCAGAGGGAAGGGAATGCTCTTAGAAAAGTTTTGTTTTCTTCTGTTTTCCTCCAAGAGAGATAGGAAATAGATATGTTTAAAGTGGAGGAGTTAAATTCTGAGTGTATCCACACCTCCTGGTCTCCTTTTCAAAGTAAGAGAAACTGACACAAAGGACGTTTTCAAATAGTAATAATAACCACTGATCTGTACTTCCTAATAGCCAATATTTGCTTAAATTCAGTCGGGCCTGTTATTTTAATGTACGAAAAATACTTAAGTAGAAGTAAATTCTAAAATAATAGATGTTTTATTTAAAAGTAGACTTCTCGGGAATCTGTACGGCATAAATCATTGAATTCTTTATTTGCTCCCAAGGACATTTTGTCACATTCAATCAGAACAGAAAACTTTGGAAAGAGAAACTTGATAATTTACCTATTGTGCAAAAGTTGTGAAATACCAAGATATTTATGGGTTTGGCCATGGCTGGCAAATTAGAAAATTATTTTATTTCATTTTTAAAAGGTGGTGTTTAGAAAATTCCCAAAATATGTCCTACAAACTTTTCCCATTGAATTCTTGTTCTACTCCTTAGTATTCTACTACTTATTGATCTTAAGAGGATTCTGACACCTAATTTTGAAAACAAAATTAAGATATTTTTTCCCCCCTTTAAAAACGAGGAACTGGCTGACCAAGGATTGTCTATCACGTTGACAGGATCTCCTGGTTGTCATTTAAGGTTTCCTCCAACACAAAAATGTCAAGAGCTCCCTCTTCCCTAAAGTTTGCATGCCAATTCAGTTAAATAA